CGGCGGCGCGGGGCGCACGTGCGCCGGGCCGGGGGCCGGGGGCGCTTACCTGTTGGAGGTAGAGGAAGGCAGGCGGGCAGGGCACGGAGTGCGGGAGCATGCTGCCAGAGTTGGACAGCAGGAGGCAGCCCGAGTTCGCCATGGAGCACAGCATGGGGCGGCAGGGGGGCGCCCGGCGGCCGGCGGCGGCTCTGCGCTCGCTGCGTCCCTCGGAGTGTGCGCGCGCCCTGCCTCCCGGGCGCCCTCCCGGTCTCTCTCCTCCTCCTCCTCTTCCTCCTCCGGGCTTCCCCTCCCCCTCGTGGCGCTCTTTAGGAGGGCGGCATCGGAGGGGGAGCGGCGCGTCTCTGCCCGATGCTCCCCTGCCCGGGCGGCGAGGCTTGGGAGAGCGCGCGCGAGAATATGGCAAGAGGACGTGTGCGCGAGAGGGTGGAGGAGACGGAGAGCGAGGGAGTCCGTCACTTTGGAGCCACCGGAGCCCTGTCTGCAAAGAGGGGCGCGTGTGCGTGTGTGAGTGTGCGCGGGTGCGCGCGTGTGTAGCGGTGGGAGGGGGAGTCCCTGGCGTACTCCAACAGCAAACAGAGCCCCGCGCGGAGGGAAGAGAATCCGGGACGACGGCACGACAGCCGATCCCACACTTAACCCCTCGCCCGCCGGCGCCCTCCTACGCGCGGGCCCTTAAGCTACTCCCTTCTCGCCGCGTCCGGCAGCTGCTCTGGCTTTGGGGTCCAGAATCTCTCTCGGCCCCCCGCGCCGTCCTCTGGCCGCTGCGGAGAGCTGGAGCGGCTCCGCTGGCTCTGCGGCCGACCGACCGGAAGGCACCTCGTCCTGTTTGGCGTTCAGAGAAGCGCCTCTCCTAAGGGAGGCCGGCTCAGTGGCGGGGATGTTGGTGATGTAATGAGGGCATCTACGCAGAGGCTTCCGTGCTGGGAAAGGCTTCTCTGGCGGCCCAGGGCTTGGAAATCCAGCCAGAGCCCCCAGGAGCCTCTCCTGCCCTCCTGCTGGCACCTAGACCCCATCAGACACCCCAGCCGCCTGCCACAGGCACGTGGTCTTGCGGATACTTAGAATGGGGGTGGGGAACAAGGGCACTGGCCACAATGCGTCCTCCCCTCCCCATTCCCAAACACACTGGACTTGGCGCCTCCCACGGAGCAGGAGTGCACAGGTACCTACCCTCTAACCCCATCAGAGCTTGCCAGAGTTCTTGGCTGTGCCCTTGTACCACCGCTGTGACGTGTGTGCACACATCTGCAGCTTCACCAGACATACACACACACCTACTGGCCTGCCCGTGTTCACACTCACCAGATGCTGGCTGGGTCAAGCCCAATTTACCAGGATAAACCAAGCCACAGGTGAGCTTGGCTGTGAGAGGGACAGCCTGCCAGTTGTCACTGTTTGAGGCAGAGCCAGTGGGTGACATGTCCAGCCTCTCACCCTGCTTACACACTTCCTCTAGGAAAGGGGCGAATCTCAAGATACCCAGTACCAATTTTGAACTCATCTGTTCCACCTTAGGGCACCTGTGATTCTCTCCTCTTACTGCAGAGAGTGAACTCCTCTGGAAGGAGCAGGGCTGGGACCACGTGGTAACTGGAAGACCGATGGCCTGATAGTTATGTGGAGGAAGGGGTTTCACTTGCTACGTGATCTCAGGAAGGTTGATTGTCCCCTCTAGGCTTTGGTATGTACACCCAGCCTGAGAGGTTGGTTGGGTGATGTCTGAAATCCCTTCTTGCACCTACTGCAAAGCAGGTCGAGTGAGGGCCGTTGAAGGAGAGGCAGCCAGGAGGGGAGGTCAGGGCTGAGGATGGCCTCTCTCCAAGCATGGCTTGGGAAGCTCCATTTGAATGAGGCAGGTGGATGTGTGCCCCCTGGACAGCCCTCTCTCAGGAGCCCATGTCCCTCCAACAACAGTGTGTCTTCCTTTTGGATGGAGGGGGGATGTGGAGCCTGTGAAGGGGGCAGACAGGGCATGGGACAGGGTAAAGAGAGAGACTGGAGGTGGCCAACTGGGTCATCTTGCCTAGCGGCCTAATCTTTTTCTGAAACCCTGCTCTGTGGTCCTCCTGGGGATGGTGCTGGCATAGGATGTGGATGAGGACGCTTGTCTGGATGTGCTGAGGCCACCCCATCTCTGGATAAGGACCGGTTAGTAACCTGGTCCCCTAGCCTAGAGCAATGGTGGGCAACCCAGGCCCAGGCACGTCGGGCAGGAGTGTGTGGCTGGGTGTGGCATTTGCAAGCTGACACCTTGCAGAAGGGCTCCCTGTGAGTGTGACACCCCAGAGTGGCTCTGGCCACCTCCTTCCTGAGTCAGGTTGCTCTGCCTTCTTCCTTCAGAAGCCTGCCCCCTCCTTCCGCCCTCTCTGAGCACCTGTCAGTCATCACTGCCCCGGCTGCCTCTTCCCTAGAGGACACTCAGGAACTCAGGGCAGCCATGTGGCATTCTTCCTGAGTCTGGGATCAGAATTATCCTGCTTGTGAATCATTTGCTCATTAAGTTGTCATTGTTACTGAGTATCTACTGTGAGATCAAGGCCTCATGCCTTCTAGAAGAGGATTTGGAGTGTGTCCTAGACACGCAGACACTTTTTGAGTTGACTTTTTGCCTTTCCTTATTGAGAACCCACTGTGTGCAGACACTCGATTAGGTGCTGGGGCTATAAAAATAAAGTTCTCTGCCCTGGAGTGAGCACACTGTCTGGTGGAGAACCCAAGTCAGGAGACCAAGACTGTGGCCTAGCGTGCTGAGAGCTGTCACAGCCCAGGACAGTGAGAGCTCAGATCTGGAGTGGGGCCAGGGAAGTTTTCCTAGAGAGACCCCTGAGCTCAGTCATTGGCCCAGAGAAAGCCAGGCGGTCACTAACGTCTGCCTTGGTATCACTTCTAGCAGCCCTGCACCTGGTCACCCAACGGCTTCTCAGCCCAGTCACCGCCTTGGAGCTTCACCTCCAGAGGGGGTCAGGCCAGGGAGCATGCCTCCACCAGACAGCTAATCACACCCAGGCTCTGGAGAGAAGACAGAGCAGCAAAACGGAATTAAAAGAAAATCTCCAGGAAAAGGATTTGAACAACGTGTGTGTCTGGCTTATTTCTCGGGGCAGGCTGTGTGACCGCTGCCTCCCATGCCGTGCTCTGGACCCGTGACTTCTTGTACGAGCCAGTGACTGAGTGGCACAAACCTTGTTCCACTGTGATTGTTTTGGAGTCTGTTGCCCAGGTCCGACTGTGTGTGGACCTCACCGGCAGGAACTGTGCCCTCTTTACCTCTCCTCCAGCAGCTGGCACTGGGGTGAGACATGAGACTGTGGGGCGCAAAGTTCATCACATCCCCCTGGGCCCCTTGAGACCCTCCTGGACCAGAGTGGGGGAAGCCCGTGCTCCTGGAGGTTTGGCTGCCCCCACTTTTGGGGCAGAGGGAGGCTGCGAGATGGGAAGAGCTGTCACTCCCATGCTAATATTCACTACTTAAAAAAAAAGAGGCAAGGAAAAAATATCCCGTTCGCCCTGAATCTGAGAAGGGCCTTGTTAGAAAGGCAGGAACTGAGCTGTAATTATTTCTGCGCTCCTGGGCACCACTATAAATATCAGGCAAGAGAGGCACCTCAAAGGTTCAGATGGTTCCTGGGCTTTGGAGATCTACCTCCTTCCTGCCCCCATCCTGTGTCACCCTCCCTGGTGGGGGCCCTGGTGGCGGCCCTGCTGGGTACAGGCGCTACCTACTCTCCTGCTGGCCAGGGCCTGCCTTCCCAGCTTCCCTGAGCATGCCTGCCTGGGGGGCCCAGGCCCATGTACCCTTGCCAGACATCCTCTGTCTCTTTGGAGTGTACCTCTGTGAAATGGGTACGCAGGATTCTCCCTAGGAGAGCATTTGCCAAAAAAGCATTTCATGGCATTCTAGCCCTGAAGGTGGCTTATGTTTTTAACAAAAGGTGGGCCAAATGAGTTCTGTGGCCAAATGACTTGGGGAATGTTTTCTGTGCCCCCCCCATCTTTTAGAAAGTTCCAGGGCTACACATTGGCATATTGCAGCAGGAAAGAAGCAGCCTGAAGTCCTTTTGTGGGGGAGGGTGGAAGGGCTGAGTTACTTATTCTCTCGCCCCTCTTTTCCCTTCCGGGTGCCCAGATTGACCATCCCCAGGCTTCCCTCATGCCAGGAGGACAGTGTGGAGCTTGGCAGTGGTGTCCCAGGACAGCGGGTGAGCTCACAGCTCTGGTTGCTGCTGGGCTTAGCCGCACCAAGCCCAGCTATCTACAAATACGTCATGCCTTCCCCAGAGACAGACCTTCCCTCCCCAGCCCAGGGTCAATGGCACAGGCTTGGGCATGAGCACTGGGGGACACAGGAGACAGAGTGGCAGAATTGAATCTCCACAGTGGGGTGAGCTGGGGTGGGCGTGGCTTAGAGGTGGGGCGTGTGTGGTGCGTGTGCATGTGATGGGGTGATGGGATGTGTGATGACCCAAGAAGCTACTTTTTAAACATGAATCAGCCAGAGTCCTATATCACCAACTGAACACTTCCCCAGGGGAATTAATGCTCCCATTTGGCAGCCAAGGGAACAGGATTAGAGTCAGGGGAGAACCCCAGCTCAGAAGGGCTCTCAAGGGGTTCCTCTACGACACCATGAGGGAATGTCAAGTTGGGGCTGGGAAGCTCTTTAGCCTTCTTTTTAAATGTAGATATCCCTCAGATCCCCCAAGACGACAGCTTCCCTATCCCAGAAGCGGGGGGCTGCTCTTGCTTTGTCCTGGCACGTATAATTTCCAGAAAAGTTGGCAGAGAAGCCCATGCAGGGAGGAGGGGAACTAGACAGGGGATGAACCAGGCTGAGGGACCAGCAGTCCCGTGCAGCCCTAGCTGGCAAGGCCACGCTGGCAGCGTCCAGCAGAGGGCCCACTCATACTGGCCTTCCCCACAGGCCTGTGAGGAGGGCCCACTGGGGGTACTCCCCACCCTGGGCCCTCTGTATGGCCCTGTCAGGGAGTCCTCAGTCGAGCTGAAGGAAAGCTAGGCCCAGCCCAGGCTGCCATGGCCAGCACCCACCTTCTAGCTCAGCGGGGGTTCCCCACCCACTGGCACCGTCCCTGTGGTCCCAGCAAACACTGCAGCAAAAGTAAAAATTGGCGTGCAAAGGAAGTTTATTTATCTGTTTAATTAAGAGGCGTTTGCCAGCCACATTCAGGTCCATCCGTCTCACTTACAACCATGTCCCGGCAAAATTAAACATAATAAATATAGGGAGACTGAAAGCAAAGGGCACACTCGAGATATATGGGCAGAGCCAGGAGTTGCACAGGGTTGCAGTTATAAGCACATCTTTCTTTTGCAAGTTCTTCTACCCTCAGGGGCCTGGGAGCCAAAGGAACATTCTCAGAGAAGGGGCTATGGGTGCTGCTCTGTTCTGCTTTCTCCACTCAGCACTGTTGCCAAGCTTTATTTATTTTAAATGAGCCCCCAGGACTTCTCCCCTCTCTTCTGTAGGAGGGGAGAGCTCGGTGCAGAGCAAAAGCAACATCTGAAATCAGCCAGCACTGTGATGTTCCACCTCAGGGCCTGGCGGGGAAGAGGCCTCGGAAGCTGCAGCCCTGGAAAGCCCTTCGCAGCCTCCTGTTGCATCTGGGCCACGAGCTCCTGGCAAGGAGGCAGCAGGGGACGGGCAGGGCCTTGGAGAGACAGATCTTGGGTCTTCGGTGCCAGCTGTGGCTAAGCCACCACTCAGCAAACTGGCCCCAGAATCCCACAGACACCAGAGGAGGAAGGTGAGGGGCAGTTTTATTTCTGTCTCTGATATGAAGGCTCAAGAGCCTGGCTGTTTGCTTAAACTTCCCAGGAATAGGAGTATGCAAAGAGGGGGAAAAAGGCTATTTATTAGTATTGATTGCTAATTGCAACAACATCTTGTATTTGCTCAGAGCTTTTCTAACCTTTTAAAAGCACATCTGATCTCACTGGATCATCACAAGTTAAGGAGGTATGATGACGCCCATTTTGTATGTGATGACACCTTTGGGATCACAGAGGTGGCCCAAGGTCATGCAACTAGTTTAGGGGCACTGGAATAGAAATGGAGACTCCTGACTCTGGGATGCACAGGGGACTTTGCCTTCGACCAAGCTGGGCTCATGCCCTTCTTCAAATGTCCTCATCATTAGCCCTTGGCTCTCTCTCCTAACAGGACCAACCCCAAACCAAATCTGTTAATGTAATAGTCATTTGCGATAGCTTGGGCATTTACTAATCACACCACTGCTCCGTCTGTGCAGCAATTATCTCGAATTTCCTCTTTCTCATTAGGCAGGAGGTCGCCAGAACTCAGTGGGTTGCTGAACCTTATGATGAAGCCAAGGAGAGGAGCTGCTATCGGACTGAAGCAGCCCTTCCTCGGGGTTCCTAGCCGATCTGCTGTGCAATGCTCGCATTCCTGGGTCCTCACTCTGCACTCAGCCTGACCCACCACTCTGGAGCCCTCCTGTCCTGCCCATACCTGTGCATGTGTCCGTGATGCCTTTGTACCAAGACCATGAATGGCCACAGAAAAGAGCATCCCAGGAGGCACAGAAAGTTGTGTATTTGCTTGGAGATGAAGATTCCAACTCTGACTGGGCATCAAATGAAATGCCCTTGGATGGACGGGTCCCCCAGTGCAGACATGACTGACGACAGCCTTTGCTCCTGCCAGGGCAGGGCTCGTGTTGTAAGTTTCTCAGTCTCAAGGCTCACAAGACACTGACAGAGGTTGCAGGGCCAAGGAACACTTATGGCCCTCACTGCTGTACACAGCCCAGCCAGGGGGCACTCAGAGCTAAAGCTGCCCCCAGGAATCCCACTTGTGTCCTTCAGCACCAGGAACAGCACCAGCCTCTTCTCTCAGATCGTCTCTCCTTCCTGTGAGTGGGGAAACAAGCCCAGATGAGAAAAAAGAGCACTCACAGTCACAGGGGCTGGGAGGAATCTGGGGTCACGTTGTTAAGTCCCTTCTAGCTGGCAGTCGTTGAAGTCTTCAGGAACAGGTGCTTTTTTTTTTCTTGAACTACACTAAGGGAGACCCTGCTGTCTCTCTGGGGAGCCTATTCAAGTTTTTATCATCCTGACTGTCAAGAAATTCTGCCTTATGTCTCACACAAACCTTTTCCATCTTAATTCTATTCAAAGGGTGAAGGCCTTGAAAGGGTGACAAGGAGGAACTTACACCAGGAGCTAAAGCCACTGCCACCTCCTCTAACTCCCAGGAGGGACTGAGGTCACCCGCCAGAACTTGTACAGCAAGGCTGTGTGTCGAGGGGGAAGAGATGAACTCAGCACTTGCCCACTGAGTAGGGAACTGGAACCCTGAATGCTCAGGGTATCCAAAAGGGAAGATTGTGCACACAATGTGGGTGTAATTCGAGTGACTCCCATTGCTGTGATTGGCATGAATTGAATCAAGTTCAGTTAGAATCAGACTGAAAAAACAAAGTATTCCAGGCTCCTGAGTGGAGACCCATGGGATGAGGTCAAGAACTGTTCTTTCATCAAGACTGAATGGATCTGAGCTGCCCCTGGGTAGAGGTTTCAAAGATCCACCTCCATATATCCTGCCTCTTCATAAAGCCAGAAATTGAAGTAGTTGGACTCTCTACTTTGTCATCAATTTTTTAAAAATCTTACTTAACAGAGAAACCCATGCCCCGTCTTTCAGTACTGGAGGAGGAGAGACCACAAGGGGAGAGACCCAATTCAGTACGTAGAGAAAGAAGGACGGCCGGAACCCAAGAACTGTGAAGGTTAGGATTCCCAAACTCTGAACAAATACAAAAGACTCCAGATAAAGCATCTGCCTATAACCCAGCCCCGGCACTCAGCTAGTTAAAAAGCAACCTCAAGGCCCCAGACAGCAGAATGCGAGGGGGCTGGCACTACGCTCTTCCCTTGCCCCTCCGTGCCCCCTAAAGCCAAAGCATCAGCTCATTAAAAGCTCATTAGGAGCCCGAGGCACACAAAGGCCCAGAGAGGCATTACTGTCCTGGCAAAGCGCACGGCCCTGGGGAGGCCGATGCTCTGTCAGGCAGCTGGTGCCAAGCTACAGACA